AGCAAGCAAGTTAAAAGCATTCTTGTACAAGATAACTAGCAGGAGGTGGTGCCCTTATACAAAAAATTTTAATAGAATCATAGCTTCTGCTAACAAAGTAAAAGTATTGTTGGTTTAGAAGAATAGCAAGCGAGTTTTTAACATACTTTTTATCGAAATTTAAGGCTACCTGCTAACTGAAACCCTTTACAATATACCACTCTTTGCATTTCACGAAATTTCACCAAAAAGTGGAAAAAACAGTATACCCTATCAAAGAATCAACAATAACAATCACTGTTGAAAAAAGAAAGTTATGTACAGAAATACATGTCTACTTTGGGATGAATCAGTTATTTCTTAAGAAGTTATAGTATTACACTGAGACCATTGCAGTATTGGCTGTACTTATCTTTAGGACAAGCGATAAGTATTAACTTTGCCCAGAAATTTTAAAGAACTATGAATACATTGCAGAAGTTTTGCAGAGCTATGTGATTTGAAGTTTCGAACTTGGACTTTTACTTAAGCACAGATGATTTTCTGATGAAGTTTTTACATCCTAGATATAGACATAAATAACTAATGTAGAGGTTAATTTAGTTCATTTAGTAGTACTATATATGTTTTTAGTCTGGTACGGGCTTAATAGTGCTATTTTTGTTTTCTTTTTTTTGTTTTTGTTTTTGTTTTTTTTTTTGACTTGTTTGGTTTTATTTGTTTTAGGTAGTTTGGTTTTATTGTTGAGTATATTTCTATTTTTTATCTTCTTTTAAATTTGTGTTTGTATTTCTTTACTAATAAGAAAAGCCAATATTAATACTTATAGCTTGCAGTTGTTAGCCAAGAATTGAAAAGAAAAAAGTTCTTGGGTAGTCTCAAACCCAGATCGAGGCTAATAACTGCTGAAGCAGGCCATATTGGGCAAAAGCTTGGTGAGCCATTATGCAGAAAATTATATAGCTAGAAGAGAAATTCTTGTAATTTGTCAAATAGTTTTAATCTCAAATAAATAGTGGCAGACAGCTGAATTATAAAAAAAAAAAGAAAAAATTAAAACTGAACCTTCTGGAGTATTACTCAAGTCTGAGAGTAAGTTTTTGATTATACAGTCTACCCTCCCAAAACCAATCCTGTCAAAACCGATAATCTGTTATACCTGATAAAAAATTGGTCCACCATGTCTATTCCATAATTCAAACCCAATAATCTGCCATTTCTCATAACCGATATTCAAATGACCAGATATCTATAAGATATCAGGTTTGTCAGGTAATATAAATCAATTTGATTGGCCTGGATTGAGCTTAGTATAACCAAGTAGATATATAATAAATGTGACAGCTGATGCTGAATTTGGCTGATGTTGAATATCACATAAAAATTCAGGCTGGAAATTTCAGATCGCATGTCGATCAGGAAAAAATCAAAACAAACCCTAACCAATAACAAAGTCCTTCAAGTTTGTTTGTGTTAGGGTTATTGTCTATATTAACGTTAGAGTTTAGAAGATTATATAGTAAAATCGCTTAAGGAAAACTTTTTGTTAGTATACAAAGTATTGTTTTTTATGAAGATTTTTGAGAAATCAGCGATTTTTGACAAAGAGGCATTTGTTTTAAATTTTTATAATCGACATATGATTTGCAATTTCTGGTTCGAATTCTTATGTAATATTCAGCATCAGCCAAATTCAGCATTAGCCATGACAATAAATATAATCTAACCAATTGTATTTATTTATAATCATATGACCAGCAAGTCATTGGTATCTTAAATCTGATAATCTCTCAAAACTGATACAAAAGCTATCTACTATACCTATCAGATTTGAGAGGGTGTACTGTATATAAGTTAATATACATAATAAAAATAAATTTATTCAATATATATATATATATTGTAGGTGGATTTGAAATTCTATAGATTCTAAATTCACTTAATTGACAATTCTCTAGTAAACTGAAGAATGTTCATAGTGAAACGTGATGCAGTTCTATATGTAAATTACTATAGACGTAAAAATAGAAATTTTCTAATGATTGTCTAAGAAAAACTTTTTTTATACTAAGTTAATCATCTTTGAGTCTCTAAGTAAAGTTGTAGAGCTCATTGAGACGAATCTAATAGTAGTTAGATCATTCAAATCAGCCAAGTGAATACCAAGATATCTTTAAAAAAACATTTTGCTGACTATATAAAATTTTTTTGGATTGTTTTTAAAGAATTTTATATAGTTAGCAAAACATTTTTCAAAGATATCTTGGCATCTACTATGCTGATTTGAATGATCTAACTACTATTAAATTCGTCTTGATAAGCTCTACAACTTTACTTAGAGACTCAAAAATAGTTAATTTAGTACAAAAAAAAAGTTTTCCTTGAACAATCACTAAAAAATTTCTACTTTTGCATTTATAGTAATTTATATATAGTCAACTCTGTTTATTTCGCAAAAAAATGTACTTAAGGAATTTTATATGTAAAAATTTTTAAAAGTTCAGTTCTCAAAGAGTTATATATTGCTAATCTGAACTTTATAATAAAATTTACAAATGTTCTAGAGCTTTTTATTCAATTCTCAGAGAATTTATTAAGTGTTTAGTTTAAAAAGGTTCAGTTTAAAGAGAGTTGACTGTATAGAACTACATTATGTTTTACTATGAATATTCTTCAGTTCACTGGAGAATCGTTAATTAAATAGATACTGAATCCACTTAATTTGTTTTGGAATCTTAAATCAACTTAAATAGAAATAAAATTTATAAAACTTAATGATTAAAAATTATTTATTAATTAATTAATAAAAAATAATTAATAAAATTAAACGATTAAAAATTATTTATTAATAAAAAATAATAACAATTAAATAATTAAATATTAATAATTACTAAAAATAATTATATTATTGAGTATAATTTAATTCAAGGGATTACCTTTTATTTTTATATTTTGCATTATGTGGATGACAACTACTTCTACATAGCATTTCAGAATATCTACATTTACAATAATTATGTTTGTATTTGTTTTTACAACTACAGTGTACTCCTGTTACTGTTAAAGTTGATTATATTTTTGCAACCTCTTGAACACTAATTACATTATTTTTGCAGACTTCAAGTTCTTTATATTTAGTTGGTCCTAATAGTATAAGTTTATTTGCATTAAAAATTGTATCAATGATTCCATTTTTACATTACAAATGATACATCTTGTTTGATAATTCTTCAATTACTTTGCAGGGTAAAGTATACTAGTCAATATTGTTGTGGTCTATTCTTGGGATTGCAATACAAATATATTCATTAATAGTATATTTGAGTTGATGCTTATTTTTTTTAGTATTTGATTTTTCATTCGATCTCAATAGGTAGCAAGCAATTGATTTGCATATTTATAAGAAAGTTGGTGGTGTGATTGAATATCTGATGATGATACTTCTTGAATATTAAACTATAAATTAAATAAAAAATACTATATCTAATATGTATTTATAATAAGATTATATAATATATATGTACATTGTTTTCAAGACTAGTTAGTGGCAAAGATTTAGAATAGCTTGATAAAAGTTCAACATATTCAGATGAAAACTTAGTATTGCTTGACAATGGAGATAAGATTTAGCATAGTAATGGTGATTTAGTTTGATTTTGTGACGGTAAATTGGTTTGAATTTGTAATAATAATTTAGTATAGTTTGATTTTGTAATAGCGATTCAGTTTGATTTTGTGAAGATAATTTAATTTGATATGGTGATGAAGATTTAGCTTGATATGGTAATAGAGATTCAGCTTAATATGGTGATAACAATAGAGATTCAACTTGATATGGTGATGATGATAGAGATTCTGGTAATAAAGATTCAACTTGATATGATAGCAAAGATTTAGATTGATTTAGTAATAAGGATTCAAATTGATCTAATAAAACAATTTTAGATTTTTTTGAATATTTAAAAAATACCATATATTGCCAAAAATAAGCTACTTTTTGTCAAGAAAAATTACACTAAAATAATACAAGTAGCTTATTATCGGATAATAATAATTTTTGTCATTTACGAAAAATTTTACTAAGTAAATCGACTTACCTTATTAAGTAAAAGTTGTTTAAAAGATCAAAATGCATTTATTTTAAAAATTTTATATAAATTGGAGAACATTTTATTAATTGACTTTTGATTTTTACATTCAACGAATATAAACTTTAAAGAAATTTTTAAATTTTCGTTGAAATGTAATATGCAAAAGTCAATTAATAAAATGTTCTCTGATTTATATAAAATTTTTAGTATATATGCATTTTGATCTTCTGAATAACTTTTATTTAATAAGGTAGGACG